AAAACAAAAGGCAATAAAAACAAGACTTAGAACCGTTGGTTTGATTACATCTTATACAGGGTTAGTTAGATAAATTAATTAACCATATATATTAACCATATAAAATATTATATATGAATTATATAATATATTAATTATAATAATTTAATTATACAATATATGATTTAAAATAGATTAAAATATAATATATAAATCATATAACACATCAATTATAATAATTCTACAGAATCCTACAATATTAACAATTTGACTTTAACCGCTCTAACATCCCGCCCCCCTTGAAAGGATTTTCAATTGGTAATAGTGCGAGTTTGTGGATTGGACGCCGTATTACTCCTTTTGGGGTTTGCACATCAACAACACGAACCAAATTATCTGGACCCCTGATGCAATGCACGATTCGGCCCATCAACCAGCGTTGTGGAGGCATATTGTCTTCATGGATTAAAACCAGAACCCCCTCGGTGATGTTAGATTGTTCTTCTGTCCATTTGGTGCGTATCTGCAGCTCATTCAGATAGTCTCTAGACCATCTGCGCCAGAAGTGATGTTTGACTGCGGTTATACGAGACCATTTATCAATTAATGAAGCAGCTTCATACTGAGGACTTGATTCAGATAAAGTTTTGAGCGGCCCACCGATAAGAAAATGTGCTGGCGTTAGCGCTTCATAATCGCTCGGGTCACAAGAATGAGGTGTGATTGGTCGCGAATTTAAGATAGCTTCGATTTCAATCAGTGCTGTTCCAAGCTCCTCAAAGGTGAATCGAGTATTTGATAATGTTCGATACAGATGGCCTTTCGCGCTTTTTACAGCCGCTTCCCATAGACCTCCAAAGTGAGGTGCTCGGGGCGGTATAAAATTGAAATTTATGAATTGGTTGCTGCAAAAGGTCTGCAGCATCACTTGATTAGACTTCTCGAAAAACATTCTTTTTAACTCTGCTAGTTTGTTGTTAGCCCCAACGAAGTTCGTGGCGTTGTCGCAATAGATGTCTGATGATAACCCTCGTCTACCGATTAACCTTTTCAGTGCTGCAATAAATGCCTCCGTAGATAAGTCTGACACGGCTTCTAGATGAGCTGCCCTTGTAGACAAACAAACGAACACGGCTATATAGGTCTTATATGGAACCCGTCCCCGAATTCGGAGATACGTTAATATCGGACCGCAAAAATCTACCGCAGTACGCGCGAAAGGACGACTTGGAGTGAGGCGTTCGATTGGGAGATTACCCATCATTTGATTAAGTAGTTTGGGTTTATAACGCACGCAGTGAATACACGAGTGCACGACTCGGCATGCAATTTCTCGAATATTAATTATCCAGAAGTTTAGTCGAGTAAGGGCAATTAGTGCTTTTGCGCCTGCATGATAGTTGCACAAGTGTATATGCCGAACATAAAGTTCCACAAAATAACAGCCCTTCGGCAACAAAATAGGGTGACGTTGGCCTACTGAGATGTCACTCAGCTCGAGGCGACCTCCCACCTTTAGTAATTGATAACCGAATACATTGTCCAGGAAGGGATTTAGATGCTTTAATGTACCTTCAGCGGGTTCCCTCGTTGTAGGCGTTGTATATCAATTTCGAAGAATTGCTGTTGGATGACCCAAATAATACAGTGCAATGCCTTTTGTAGCTGAATAGGTTGGAGGGTACATTCTCCGTTCTTCAATTTATTCTTGGTTACATGATAAAAACGCTGTACCTGCGCTATTACTCGTAGCATCTTAGTGTATGAACTATATCTTGACAATACCTGTAATACGTAGTTGTCTTCATTTGTGTTAACGAATACAACCTTTCGCGTCTCTTTATTGACTTCTTCCATATCCAGGTTGTGACATTTCAAATGCGGCCAGTATTTATCAGCGAGTAACAAAAATTCCGGCCCCGTAAACCAACAAGACTCTGATAATTGGCGGATGTTACAGCCGCGCGACACAACATCTGCCGGGTTGGATTGGGTAGGAACGTGTCTCCATTGCCCATTTGCGGTAATATCTTGAATTTCCGCTACTCGATTGCCAACGAATGCAGACAGGGTTGATGAGTGCTGCTTCAACCAATGTAATACAATCTGTGAATCAGTCCAAAAAAACGTTTCACCCTTAAATTGCGCAAATATTGGTTGGACCTTCTGATACAGTTTGGCAAGAAGTAAGGCACCACAGAGTTCTAGTTTAGGTAGCGACTTCCGCTTTATAGGTGCCACACGGGATTTTGCAGTGAATAGCCTGACCGTCACCTTACCTGATGTGTTTTGTGATCGGAGAAATATACAGCAACCATATGCGCGTATTGAAGCGTCACAGAAACCGTGTACATCAACCTGTTGATAGTTTATGGATAGGCAGTACCTCGGCACCTTAACCGATGAAAGCGTTGTAAGATCTTGAATAAATGTTTTCCAAGCTGAGTGAAGATTTTGAGGGACTGACTCGTCCCAATCCACACGCAAAAGCCACAATTCTTGCATCATAATTTTGGCTACGAGTATGATCGGTGCTAGTAATCCAAGCGGGTCGAATAATGAAGACGCAAGGGATAAGATGGTGCGTTTTGTTACAATATGACCTGGTTGTGCATTAAACGAAAATAGGAAAACATCTTGCATTTGGTGCCACTTGATGCCTAGAGCGCTGGTGACTGTATCTGTATCAAGATTCAAACTCTTTGTTGTAGTATCGCTGATGAAGTCATGATGGTTTGAATGCCATTTGTCAAGATCGAAGCAACCCTTCTGTAGAATGGCCGTTAACTGATGTCTGATATTGGTGAGTTGATCAATGGAATCTGCTCCACCTAAGAAGTCGTCGACAAAAAACGATGATTTAATGAGTGCAGCGCCTATTGGGTATTGTGTTTCAAATTTGTCCGCCAAATACTGCAAACTCCTGGTTGCTAGGAAAGGTGCTGATGCAGTACCATAAGTGACTGTATTCAACTCGTAAGTACTAACAGGATCGGACTCCGTATCTCGCCAAAAAATATATTGGAATTTTCGATCTGGTTCATCTATCAGTATCTGTCGGTACATCTTAACAATGTCAGCCGTCAAGGCATATCGGTGCAAACGAAATTGAAGTAGCAACAAATATAACTCCGACTGAATTGTCGGGCCGACCAGTAGAATATCATTTAATGAACGTTGCGAAGTTGTTGGACATGACGCATCAAAAACCACCCTCAGCTTGGTCGAAGTGCTCGACGGTTTTAAAACACAATGATGAGGGATATAATAATGAGGTTCGTTGGGTTTCGGAGTCTCAACACGCGTCATGTGTCCGAGCTCTCGATATTGTTTCATGAATTCTTGATAGTCTTGCTTCAGTGCACGATTAGATGACAATCGCCGTTCTACAGAATAAAAACGGCGCAAGGCGATATTGTGTGTCAAACCAAGACAATCTGGTGAATCTTTGAATGGTAACCGAACGACAATTCTTCCCATCGCATTTTGGTGAACCGTTTCACGATATAATGACTCACACGCAACATGTGCTGGTGACCATGACTTTGAAGCCGATTGCACTTCCTCTATCTTCCACATCATTTCTAATTGATCGGAGACTGTATCTTCAACTGATAATAGGCATTTTGCTGCTGGTGATGCAAATGGCTGACCCTTGTACTTGCCAGATACAATCCATCCTAATAGTGTTTTTTGAAGTACTGGAAGATTTTCACCTAGTTTGATTTGACCGACAGACAAAATATCAAAGAAACTTTCAGCTCCAAGCAAAAGATCAACGCGCTTGGATTTAAAGAATTGCTCATCGGCGAGAGGTGTATTTGGTGGAACCTTCCACGACGATATATCGATTTCAGAACTTGGTTGATATGCGATGTGATTCGTAATACCAAAGTTTAAAGCAAGTTCAAAATTTGAATGACGAGATTTGATTGATGTGAACGTCTGATACTTAATGTTGGTCAACGAACTACCAATACTGGAAACATGCAACCGATGTTTATGTTTTGCTAAACTAAGCTTCTTTGAAAACTCCTCCGTTATGAAGTTGACCTGAGAGCATGAATCAAGTAAGGCTCTACCCACTTGATAACTTCCCGATGAATCCTTCACTAAAACCAATGCAGTGGCAAGAATTATTTGCTCGGCCGATGACATATTAAGATGGGAATGGCTGGCAACGTTGTCGTTGGGCATAGCAGCGTGTTCTGTGCGTCGTGATGATCCCGCGCTCTTAATATTCGTTGGCAATTGCGAATGATGCAAGAGAGTGTGATGTGGCTTTGCGCAAACCTTACATTTAAACGTTGATGTACAATTAACCACATGATGGCGTGGCGATAAGCAGTTTATGCAGAGTTTTAGGCTCTTCACCTTTTCAAACCTTTGAACCACCTCCAGTGCCTTAAAACGATGACAATTCTGTATTAGGTGTTCATTGCTAGAACAAAATGAGCAAGAATTGCTAGATGTAGATGCAACAAATGCGTATTGTTTTGAGCGTCTGTTAGTCTTGGAGTTAAGACTATTAGGTTTACGTTGTGATGATGACTGATTGCCGTTTCCACTGTCAAGTGATTCGAGAAACTGGCAATGTCTATCCAACAATTTTGAGCAATCTTCCCAACTGGGTAATGTGTCAAAGTTACGCGATTCATTCCATTTCCTACGTGTAATTGCGTCCGTTTTTTGCATGATTAACGAGATAAGTAGAGCCTCACATATTTGTTTCTCTGTACCTAGCGAACAGAGTGAACCATACAAAGCGGATGCATTGTTTACCAGACTACGGAGTTGTTGGCTTGACTGACCCGATACTGCTGGTAGATCAAATAGTGTCGCGATATTTTCGGCGAAGATTAGGCTATTATTGTCATAGCGCGATTTAAGCCTATCCAGAGCCTTTGGATAGTTTTCATTCGAAATAGGAAATGCCTGTACTGTCTCTAGAGCTTGACCAGTAAGGCAGTTCAGCAAGTGATTAAATTTTTCAATATTTGTGAGGTATATTTCGCGATCTATGTATGATTTGGAGAAACGAATTAATAAAATTGTTATAATCCGAGTACTTACCACTGAATGTAGGTAATTTTAACAGTGGTAATTTTTTACTTGAGGTGGGCATCATTGCTGTTACGTCTAGCACTGATGCATTGTGGGCCTCTTCCTGCAGTTGAGACATGATTAATATTTTGGTGGAAACGTATAGGTCTTCTAATTCATCTCTAGCTGAGTCAGTTGCATCTAATTTCTCGATCAACGTCTGAAAAGCTAAGATTTGTTTAAAATATGATTCTAAAATACCTAGTCGACATTTCAGTTCTGGTTGTGAGAGCGAATTACTCTTTCCTTTGACGAACGCCTTGATCCTTGAAATACTCGCTTTCGTCGAGGCTCGCTGTTGTTTTAGTTCTGACAGTTCTGCCGTAGTGGTTGGCTCTGCCGTTGCCATTGAAACAGTTGTAGATACTTGAGAACAGCAAAGGATTTGACGAAGTCGAAAAGTCACAATAGCAACAGTGAGCTTTCCGAAATTGAACTGCTCTTACGGTGGTTGTTGTCAGACGCGACGTTGACGAACCCGCACACTTACTGATTGGAAGCAAATATTAACCAGTAATCAACAAGTAAGTTAACTTGTTGTTGTTGTTGTAATTGTTCAGCGTGACCTTGATGCGGACACGAGGTTCTATTTGGCGCTTAGCAGAACCTAAGCCGAGAACCATAGAATGCACAATAGTACACACGTACGATAGTATATAGTATATATGTACAGATGTAGGATATTATTAAAGTTAGCACACTTTAGATATATAACCGTTTAGGAGCAATACTCACACGAGCACATTATGGTTACAAATTAACCAAATACAATAAAAGCGAAAGTATGTACAATCAACAAGTAAAGATAGCTTGTTGTTGTTATTTTAACTGTCGAGCACGACCTTGATGCGGACACGAGATTCTATTTTGAGGTTAGCGGACCTAAACCGAGAACCACCAATTGCACAAGAGTATATACGTACGATAGTACATATGTAATATATATATAGATGTACGATATATTATAATGGTTAGCACACGTTAGCTATATAGCTGGTTAGAAAAAGTATTCACACGCGCACATTAATGGTTACAAATTAACCAAAAACAATAAAAGCGAAAGTATATACAATCAACAAGTAAAGGTATCTTGTTGTTGTTATTTTAAATGTCGAGCACGACCTTGATGCGGACACGAGGTTCTGATTTGAGGTTAGCGGACCTAAACCGAGAACCACCAATTGCACAAGAGTATATACGTACGATAGTACATAGGTAATATATATATAGATGTACGATATATTATAATGGTTAGCACGCGTTAGCTATATAACTGGTTAGAAGAAATATTCACACGCGCACTTTAATGGTTACAAATTAACCAAAAACAATAAAAGCGAAAGTATGTACAATCAACAAGTAAAGATAGCTTGTTGTTGTTATTTTAAATGTCGAGCACGACCTTGATGCGGACACGAGGTTCTGATTTGAGGTTAGCGGACCTAAACCGAGAACCACCAATTGCACAAGAGTATATACGTACGATAGTACATAGGTAATATATATATAGATGTACGATATATTATAATGGTTAGCACACGTTAGCTATATAACTGGTTAGAAGAAATATTCACACGCGCACTTTAATGGTTACAAATTAACCAAAAACAATAAAAGCGAAAGTATATACAATCAACAAGTAAAGATAGCTTGTTGTTGTTATTTTAAATGTCGAGCATGACCTTGATGCGGACACGAGGTTCTGATTTGAGGTTAGCGGACCTAAACCGAGAACCACCAATTGGACAATAGTATATACGTACGATAGTTCATATGTAGTATATATATAGATGTACGATATATTATAATAGTTAGCACGCGTTAGCTATATAACTGGTTAGAAGAAATATTCACACGCGCACTTTAATGGTTACAAATTAACCAAAAACAATAACAGCGAAAGTATGTACAATCAACAAGTAAAGGTATCTTGTTGTTGTAATGTCGAGCGCGATCTTGATGCGGACACGAGGTTCTGGTTTGAGGTTAGCGGACCTAAACCGAGAACCACCAATTGCACAATAGTTCGACAGTCCACAGAATAGCCGTGTGGAAGAAATGCACACACGCGTACACTAATGATTACAAACTTAATAAGAAAAAATGATTACCACACGTGGGTAATATTTAGATTTTTTAACAAATTGGAGATTAATAACCACTATTAAAATTGCAAAAAGTCCTGTCACGGTCGCCAATGTAAATTATAAGCGTTTTTATAATTGGGTTTTATGATCTTTATTTCAATTTCTTTAACACAATGTAAATTATAAACGTTTTTAAAATTGGGTTTTGATTTCATTTAATTTATACAATTGAATTTATACAATTTCGGTTATTGATTGTTTAATCACTTTTTTATGTGTACCCGTGTGTTGACACGTTCGCGATCGAAAAACAAGAGACAGAATCAAACCAACGGAGTTTACTTGCAGCCCAAAAAATATAACAAAAAAATTGCTCATCTCGAGCGCAAAAACAAAAGGCAATAAAAACAAGACTTAGAACCGTTGGTTTGATTACATCTTATACAGGGTTAGTTAGATAAATTAATTAACCATATATATTAACCATATAAAATATTATATATGAATTATATAATATATTAATTATAATAATATATGATATATGAAATATATATGAAATAATATATGATATATGAAACAATATATGATTTAAAATAGATTAAAATATAATAAAATATAATATATAAATCATATAACACATCAATTATAATAATTCTACAGAATCCTACAATATTAACAATTTGACTTTAACCGCTCTAACAGTAGGAATTGTAGGAAATAAATTGGATGAGCCTCGTTTGATTTGAGTTCTGAACTGAACCCTTTTGATTCAATATAATTTTCTGCTGTCATCAAAAAGTGTGCCGAATAGTTCCTCCTAATATTCAACAGAATATCATGTCAATACCTAAGGTTGAGTTTCATACATTTCTAGGATGTTTCGGATCACATCAAATACATGTTGACAAAACCAACAACTTATGGCTGAAAATTGAAGCTATTGTATCGAAGTGTAAGAAGTAATTTGTGCACGAATTCTCAATTAACGAGTGATTTCAACATCAAAAGCTAGTATATCAAAAGATAGCATTCTTGATTCAGGCTCTAAAGAAAACTTTTTTATTTATATATTCAAACTAAGATTTTAATACTAATTATATAATATCACACTTTTTATTTTTCATAATTGCACATATTTTATTTTTTTATTTCCACTTCTTATTACACCTGACATAAAAAACACAAAATAATATTAAAAAAAAAATTTAAATCAATATTTAGCACCAACTGGTCAAAGTTCAACCTCGCACTCGACTACCTCCTTCTTAATTTGAGCATTCCCGAACACAGGAACATGGCTCGTGTGAAGATCGATTTTGCTGCCCACACTCTTGAAAGCATCTTCGCCTCCACAATTGATGAGCATGTTCCGAAGGTGCGTGTTCGCAAATTTTATTAAGTTCCACTTGATGCTTTTACCCTTCGCCTCATTAATTTGAGGAAATCGCTTCGCCGCCGAACTTATCGCCTTAGACAGGTATCTTCAATGCAAGCTCATGCGTCCCAAGCTAACTTCAAGAACCTGAATACCATAATTGCCCAGAGAGTCAACCAATCCAGATTTAATTCCATTATTGCCAAACTTCGTGCCACCTAGTGCCGGTTTGACGATTTCAGTACGGTCAGGCAAATCTGTGGATCCAATAGGTCCATCTCAGACCTCCGCTATGGTTACACCATAGTGTATGACGAGCTCGATAAAGCCAACGTCGTTGGTGAAGTCTTTGTGACTTATCACCGTCTTACGGTTGGTCAAGGCGAGTGCCACTTCACGTCCACTACGAATTCTGTAGTTCGTGGGGTTTTCGATACTTTCAATGAAAGCATTGTCACTTTCTTTGCGCAGTTCCCCGCTCACTACATCAATGTTGAAGACATCAAAGGGTTTCTCACCCCTTTTCAAACTCATCGACATGCTTCGGTTCAAAACGCCCAAAAATTCATCTGGCAGTGACTGCGTGTCTTTCTCACCATTCTTTTTTAAAAAGTGCACCATGCTCTTCAACCATGCGTACAACATTGGTTCCTTTCCCCAGCCATGGAGGAAGACCATAGTTTTTCCCATTGCCAAAAGTGACAAACCCAAAGCTGACCCCTTCAGCTATCGTCCTATTTCTCTTTTTAACTCTGTCAGTAAACTGTATGAGACTTTCATAGCAAGCAAGCTGAAGTCCTTCTCCTCTGGGAATAACATTATTCCCCCTTTTCAGTTCGGCTTTAGGAGCCAAATTTCTTTTCAACAAAACCTTTCAGGTTCGAGTCGGTTCCTCTCTGTCCCGTGATTTCCCCATCGATGCTGGCGTCCCTTAGGGCTCGGTTCTTGGACCCCTCTTTTTCAACCTGTTTATAGTAGACATTCCGCTCCCGCGGAATGTCTTGTCTTCATACGATCGTCTAATCCTTACCCGGTCTCCAATGAGCTTAATGCCCACCTTAAATCTCTTTTTGACTACTATACCAGGTGGAAGATTAAACTCAATCTCTCCAAGGTCTCTGCCATTGCCTTTACTGGCCAGCAGCGTGATCGTTCCAGAGGTTTTAGCAACTCTAATATTAAGCTAAGGCTTAATAACTCTCCAATTCAGCTTGTTCCCAAGCTTATATATCTTGGCATTGTTTACTCATCCAAGCATAACTTTATACCACATGTTGACTATGCCATCCGTAACGCCCGGTTCAGGCATACTCAACTTAAAACTGCACTTCGAAGACATAACCAGCTTAACTGCAAATTTAAGCTGCTCTGCTATAAGCAGCTTATTCGTCCTCTCGTCACTTATGCTTTCCCTATTTGGTAAGCCATCACTTCCGCCCAAATAGAAAGAATCCGCCTGTTTGAGCGGAAGTTTCTTCGCAATTGCACTAACTATAAGCGCAAGCGTAATGGCAACCACTTCTCCATATCAACTCCCTATAACAATGCCAAGATCACTCGTGTTGACGAGTATCTTCTGCCACTCGCCCGTAGGTATCTCACCCGGCTCCATGACCG